TAACACTAAGACATTGTAGCCTGACACTGAGGTTTGTGGTTTTTCCTCTAGGGTGTAGGGGAAAACATGAAGACAGATACCGTGCAGAAGTATGTTTGTATCTGGTTCAGGCAGACTTATTACACTATTGGTTTTTTTTTTAAATTATTGTAGGAAGTTCAGTTAACTTGAAATCAAATCTGCTTTTAACAGTGCTATTGATTAATATAACCTTGGAATTATAATGGAAAGTCTTAAAGTCCTGGTTGGAAATATGGGATTGCTTATTCCCTTTTCCCAACTGTGAGGTCTTACATTATTCCCATCATGAACAAAATATTAAATCCTTTCAAAAGTGTTCTGAGTCTTAAGTTGGGGAGGAAAGACAAAAGGATAGGAAAAATAAAACATAGGAAAATTGTATGTAATCTTGGAATGTGGAAGGCCTTTACAAACAAAACTAATTTCCTTAATATATAAAGAGTTCTTCACAAATCAGTAAGAAAAAATATATAGTAGAAAATGATCAGAGGATATCAACAGTTTATTAACAAAAAAGGAAATAGAAGGTATTTTAAAATATGGGTAGATGCTCAGTCTTGCTCATAATAAGAGAAATGTAAATGAAACTACAGTAGAATTTTTATCTGACTGGTAGGCAAAGATCTAGAAGTTTCATAGTGGTACCATCCTGGCAGGAATGTGGGGTAATACTCCCATAGTCGCTGTGGGAATGTAAACTGACACAGCCTCTAGAGAGTGTCTTGGCAGCATTGAACACAGTTTAAACTGCACATAACCTTGGACTTGATTCCACTTCTCAGTGTCTACTCAGATGTATACTTGTGCGTAAATGAAATGACACATGTACAGGGATATTCCTTAGAATCCTTTTTAAAATTTTGAAATAGTTTGCGCTCTACAGAGATGTTGCAAAAATAGTACACAGGCTTCCCTTCCTCTGCTCCTGGTTTCCCCTAGTATTAGTCTCTTACAGAGCCGGGGTATAGTGATTGAAAACTGAAATAGCACTGACACAGTACTGTTCAGTAACATGTCACTCTCACCTGAATTTAGCCAGGTGTCTCGTCGATGTCCTTTGCTGCCCCAGGGTCCTACATCCTGTCCTTATGTCTCCTTGGTCTCCTCTGTCTGTGTTTGTCCTTCAGGACCTTGACTTTTGAAGAGCACCGGCCAGTTGTTTAGAGGATTTCCCTGTCTTGGGTTTGCCTGATGCTTTCTTGTGATTAGATCAAGATGTCTTTTTGGCAAGAACACAGCAGAAGGCAGGCGGCGCCCCCTCACCACCTGGGGTTGCAGGGTGTGGACACGTCTCTTTCCTGATGATGCTGACTGTGTTCACTTTGTTCAGGGTTATTTGCCACTTTCTCCCCCGTGAAGTGCTGTTTTTCTCTTTGAGATCAAGAAGTGTCTTATGGGGATACTTCGAGATTCTGGAAATGTTCTGTTTTGGTGAACATCCATCAACAATTTATACCTGTCACAACTAATACAGTGCTTGCCTGGTGGCGACTGTCTGTTTCCATCGTCCTTACACATTTCCTAATTGTAATTCTGCTGTAAGGAAGAGGTCCCGTCTCCCCGATACTTTGATTTTACATTTCTAGCCTCCAAAACTGTGGGATGATAAATTTCTGTTGTCTCAGCTGCCCGGCCTGTGGTGCTTTGCCACAGCAGCCCCAGGAAACTAACATACGTCCCTTGTAAGCAGCCAGTTTCTTACTGCTTAAATTGTGTGCTCCCAAAAGACATGTTCACGTCCTTCCCCTGCCTGCACCTGTGAATGTAACCTTATTTGTGAATAGGGTCTTAGCAGATAAGGTAAGTAAGATGAAATCATATTAGATTAGAGTGGGCCCCAAATCCAGTGTAACAGGCGACCTTAAGAGGGAAATTTGAACACGAAGGAGACACTGATGAGAAGGCCATGTGATGATGAAGGCAGAGATCTGAGGGAGGCAGCGGTGGGTCAAGGATGGCGGTCAACTCAGAGGCCAGAAGAGAGTGGGGACAGGCTGTCCGTCAGAGTCCCCAGGAGGAATCAGCCCTGCCAACACCTTGGTTTTCGACTGTGGTAAGCTGCCCTGTCCGTGGTGCTGTGTCACAGCAGCTTCAGGAGACGGACACACAGTCTCATTAGGTTCTGGTTTATCCTTCCCGTATTTCTTTTGCACAAAATAGTGGAAAGAGGATGTTTTCCCGCATCTCCTTTCTTCCTTGAAGGGTAAGTACGCAGTAGATAACTCTCTATCACTTTGGGGTTTTTGTTTTTTGTTTTCCTGTTTTTTATTTTTATTTATTTATTTATTTTAAACATTTTTTTAATTGAGTTATAGTCATTTTACAATATTGTGTCAAACTCTTTACCACTTTGGAGCATTATTTTTAACAGCACCAGGCTGGAAACAGATTGGGCACTAGTTACTTATCCATTACAGTGGACTATTACTTGTTTATAAAAAGAAAAGCAGTTTTAAATATACTAGAACAGAGTGATCTCTAAGATGTGTTCTTGATTAAAACATTTGTACACGGAAGCCTGGAAGTAAAAAAGTGTGCCGGCCCCTTCCTGCAATCTGGGAGTGGGTTTAGAACAGGTTGTTCGTGGGAGCCTGAAGATAATGAGAGCCCTTAGCCTCCCAATTGTTTGATTTCGTGTGATTTCTGGTTTCCTGTGGGTAAGGATGGTTTAGAGCTGGGATGAGGGAAAGTGACCTGTTGTTTCCTGATGGGACCAAAAGGCAGATGTCGAGGAAAGGATCAGAGGAAGTCTGAGACAGGAAGTGGGGATAAACGTCAGTTTAGTGGGTTTATGCAAGCAGATCAGGGCACTTAACTCCTTAGCAGACCTGCTACGCTGGGGCGGGAGGAGGCGGGTTCCTGGAGATTTGGGGCATTGCTTGGTGGAGGGCCTGGAATGCCAGCCTGAAGTGTTTGGAGTTGATGAGGTTGTGGCAGGACTGACCTCTGAAATCGGAAATAATGAGATGAAATCGGTGTCGAAAGATTGATATGTTGACATTTAAGCAACGGATTTTAGGGAACAGTGTTTCAGGTGGGAAGACCTGCTTAAAGGCCTTTGGACCTGAGTTGTGCGGGGAAGAGGGGCCGCAGCAGAGCTGGGGGAGGCCCACGAGGCGGGGAGTGGGCAGGGGTCCAGGATAAGTGCTCCTTCCGTGTCCCTGCTGGAAGTGACTCCGCATGACCATCTCTGCCCTTACCTGGGCTGGGTAATAGGGCATGGTTGTTAGGTGGAACATGGTAAGAGGAGTACTAATTAGATGTAAGAATTTCTAAACTGCTTTCGGTTGGTCTGTGTGTACTGGCTCCCGTGGGGGCGCGGCCACGAACCCTGCCCACCTGTGCTTACCCAGCTCGCTCCCCTCTCTCCTGGAGGGACTCCTCCATGGCTCCGGGCTCCATGGCCCGGTGCTCGCCTGCGTGTTTGTGCATCTGGAGGGCTGGGACCCAGACCCCGACCTGAGGCCCAGCCGGAGTCTTGCATCCCTCAAACTTCTCTCCTTTACCCCCGTCTCACTGATTTTGTCCTGAAGTCCTACCATACTTTAAAGCAGAGGGTCCCCGTGGGGAACCGTTTTTGTCTCCACATGTGCCCAGGAGCACCGTTCCTGGGAGAGAAGGCAGTGTGGGGTCGCTCCTAGTCTGCTGGCATCATTTCTCATGTGCTCAGGTCACGGGCTGGGATCACAGGGACTTCAGCACCCTTGCCTGGCCTGGTGTAGACTGTTTGTTAAAAAACTTCTTATCAAGTATTTAATTCCAGAAGAAATACCCCAGTTTGAGGAGTTTCTTTAGCTGTATGAATAAAGTGAACAATGCAGTTAGGCCAGAGAATTAAATATTTAGACTCTTTGGAAATTGACTATTTTCTGAATTGGGATAGATGTTGTAAGGTAATCTTCATAGAGGTAAAGACTAAGGTCATGTTATTTATTATAAATCCAAGAATAAACTTAAAAGGCAGGTTTTTGTACCTCATAGGAATGTGGAAGTCGACATGTTGATTTTTTAAACCTTCAAGTTATTTCTGGACATTCCATGTCATTTCTTCCTGACTGTGACATGTGTGTAGTCCACAACGTGCAACAGCAGTTCATCACGGCCTGGGCATCCACACAGACTATCCTATATGTCTGACCTGTAGCTTTGAAAACACCAGGCATTAAGCCCCTCCCGACTGGCGCCAGTCCCTGGCTTGGTGGTCCAGGAGTCGGGTGAGTGGTGCTGGCGAGAGGGTTGGTTCTGTCCTGCTGGCTAGAGTGGAGGTGTTTCTGTAGCGTCTGTCAGCCAAGCCAGGCTGGGGACAGCATGTCAAACGGATGGCTTTCCCTTCTTCCCTGGCAGTGGTTCCTGGATCCACTGTGCTGAGCAGGAAGTGACAGAAAACCAAGACAAGGACAGTTCTAGTCCCTTTGCTGGTTACAAGGTGGAGGAGCTCATTTGCTGGCTTGCGGGTTTTAAATACACTGATTGAAAAAACTGACAGTTTTGGACAAAAAAGGAAAGGAAGAAAATTGATGATTCTTTAGAAGATGATGAGACTGGTTCAGAATATCACTATTTAAAAATTTGGATCTCTCTTGGGGTATTTTTCTCCCCTTTCCCATGATAGTTATGTGATGAGGGAGGTGGTCTGTCGTATTTCAGGCTCCGGGAGGGGCTGTGAGCACCAGGACACGTGCGTTGGGTGGGTCTGTGTGCAATCTCACCAGGGGACGTATGTGGGAAGTGGTGTCCAAAGACACCTGCTCGCCCCCGCAGCTCTGCCCCGGGTTCTGATGCATTCTTGGTATCTGACATGTGTGAGGATGTGTTATTAAAACTATCCATGAAAATGCCAGCACAGCGTTCAGTCACTTCTCGTTTCTCCTAGTGACACTGAGTCTCTCAAGCAACAGCCTGCCGTAGAGAAATCCCCCTCAGCATCTGCCAGACTAGACGTGAACACACTGAGATAGTCTTTTCCTGATATGTTACTAACTCATTCTTTCTGCATGTTTGTCTTTTCAGGAAAACCAGTTCTGTGTCCTTGGAGGACCCCAGCCCAGCCATGGAGTCCCAGGCAAAGGCCAGCTTTGAGCTTCTACGTCGGACGGTTGTTCAGCTCGCAGGCGGCTGAGGACCCGAAGGAGGAGCCCCTCCACTCCATCATCCGCAGCTCGGAGACCGTGCAGGGTACCGTGTGCGGCTGCGTCTTGTCCAGGGAGTCTGGACTGGCTAGTGGCTGGCTCATGAGGGGGAGTATTTTTAAGGCAGAAGCAATGAATGATCGAGCCACCCACTCGCTTCAGAGGAAGGAAGGTCTTGGTTGGAGGCAGGGTTCCCCAAAACAATGTGTCCTGCGTTTTGGTCCCAGGAGGAACCTCTGACTTCCATCCTGGTGTGTCGTGCCCCCTCTGGTGGTCGCCTGTGAGTTTGCGCAGGGCCCCTTCTACATGGTGATTCATGGCACATCTGCTAATAATCATGGAAGTGGGACATAAACTCAGTACTGGCCCCGCCGACGCAGGGCTGCACTCCGGATTGTCCTTCATTCCTAAGAAGTATGGAGAGCAGTCTCCGGAGCTGGTCCTCACGTTGGTCCGTTTCTGGCTTTCAAATGGGACGACAGAAGCTTTGAAGTTTGGCTTAAAAGGAGAAATGAGGTTTTCTTGTTATCCTGCTTTCTAAGTGATTAATTTGGAAACCGATGTATTCAGGAGTAGGAGCCCAGGTCTGGATGTTCGAGTCGGCTGGTCTCACAGGCAGGCGAGGTGCCAGCCTCGGCAGCCCCTCAAGGTAGCCTGACCCCAGGCGTGCCGGCTCCAGGGGGGCGGGAAGAGGCAGGTGAGGCCTGTGCTTCCTCCGCCCCTTCCTGAGGAGAGGGAACCACCTGGTTTGTTCTGAAGCTGAGACTTCCTGCCTGAGCCCAAGACTTGGTTTCTTTCTTTCCTTTTTGTTCACTGTTTTGAAAAATGTTTAAAACTCGTTACCATAAACATTTTTTTGAATATTACATAGCATATTCTTCCATGAAAAAAGACATTAAACTTTATTGGTTTGTCTGATTCATTACTAGGTTCCGTTTCTAAACATGAGTTCCAGGCTGAGACAAAGAAGCTTCTGGACATTGTTGCCCGTTCCTTGTACTCAGAAAAAGAGGTGCGGTGCCTGTCATCATCCCCAGCACTAGCAAGGTTTCTGTTGGCAAGACCACTTTTACGCCGCTGTGGGGGTGCCAGACAACACGTTAGCTGTGAGAATGCGTTACATTTGGACAGGCTTGATCTTGGCTGCCAGTGAGAGTATTTTTACTGAAGTCTGTTGGGTTTTATGGACAAATATATCCAGATGATTCTTTGGGCCATATTGAATCTGGGAATTAATGAATTTTGCTGCTGGTTTAAAAGTCCCCTAGATGTTGACGTGGGGGGCCCTGCTGAGATCTGTTCCGTGGTGCTTTCCACATGCTCCAAGGCCCTGGGTTTCCTCCCCTCGTCACCTGGTGGAGCCACCACGGTCTGTAGGGTGTCAGATGGGAGGACAAAGACCGCTGGCCTTGTGGGGAGCAGAGCAGAAAGGAGCTGCCAGGGGCCTTTTTGAGGAGGTTAAGCTCCTCAAGGGGTGACAGCTCCTCCACGGAGAAGTGGGGAACCAGTGAGTCATCGTTTCCACGCTCTTTGTTGTAAAACACAAAGAAGACTTAGCGAAGGATAAAGCCTAACTTCCCAAAACAAAAAGGCACTTTCTAGGAAGTATTTCCAGGTATTGTCCTGTTAAATTCTATATTCTGGTGTCCCTGTGGCATCCGGCTTCTGTTCTCGGGGTCGGGTCGCCTCCTCCCTCTCCCCCCGTGTGCTGTGTCTCCCCGTAAGCAGGGAGCCTGTTAGGAGTAAAGGGCTTTCTGGACACCGGTCGGCAGTTGAGCCTGTGGCCCTTTTTTGTCCAGAACATGGCAGGTCTGGTTTGTGATGATCCATGAGATTAAAGAAACCAGTGAGTGAATGAATGACCGAGCCACTGTAAGAGCAGAGCAGAAGAAACATACTTGGGGGATCTTTTGACATCCCCGGGCAAAGGCTGAAAAAGAAGTCATGTCACAGGGTCCTTGAGGTTTGGAGTTAACCAGTCGACACCTAGCTCCGGGCTTGATGTTCCAGGAAGGAGCAGTAGAGTTAGACTTCAGCATGTACAGCCAGGTCAGGGAGGTGCGAGCGTCCTTGATCATTATGTGTTCTGCCCTGGAGAAACTGCCTTTGAGCAAAGCGGGAAGTCTTTCTGGTTAAACAGTTCTGGGGCATTTCTGTCCCAGCCTTGAACAATCGCTGCAGGTGCTGCTAACCCAATGGGCCCTGCAGTGCCGGCTTCTTATTTCCGCTGCCGTAGGTGTTTATACGGGAGCTGATCTCCAACGCCAGTGACGCCTTGGAAAAGCTGCGTCATAAGCTGGTGTCTGAAGGCCAAGCGCTGCCGGAAATGGAGATTCACCTGCAGACTGACCCCGAGAAAGGCACCATCACCATCCAGGTACCTCTCCCAGTGTCCTGACGCAGGCGCCGCCAGCTTTTCCACACACCGGCCTGGGGACACAGGCCTTCCTTTCTGTCGTGTCTCTGGGTCCCAGTGACTTGCTGATTGTACTCACTATTAACTTCCTGTAAAAACATTCATTCAATGTAGAAAAGTTAGAAAACATGGATAGCAGAAGAGGAGAAAATTTTAATTCACTCCATCATTCCAAGATAAGTACTATTAACATTTTAGCGTATGTCTATTTAAGTTTTTGAACTGTGCATTTATCTTCATAGCTAAACACATTTTTAGGCTTAATTTTTTTTTAAATGGAGGTACTGGAGATTGAACCCAGGACCTCATGCATGTTAAGCACGCCCTCTACCACTGAGCTCTACCCTTCCCCCAAAGTTTAATTTATTCACTTTATTACTTTTTCTAATTAATTTTTTTTGCAAGGGGGGAGGTAATTAGGTTTACTTATTTGTTTACTTTCTAAGTGGAGGCACTGGGGATGGAACCCAGGACCTTGTACATGCTAAGCATGTGCTCTACCACTGAGCTATACCTTCTCTTCATTTTTAATCTGTAGTTGACCCTTGAACAACACTGGGGTGGGGGAGCAGACCCTCCCCACAGCTGAAAATGCATATATATATAGCTTCTGGTCTGCTCTCTGTATCCCTGGGTCCTCCCTGTACGGTTCCTGGAAATCTGCGGATCTGCACCTGAGGGTTCAGCCAGCCGCAGACAGTGCAGTACTGAATGGAGGTGGTACTTGCTGTTGAAAAAACCGTGAAGAGGTGATCTGCCCAGTTTAAACCCATGTTGTTCAGAGGTCAGCCGTCCTCTTCACATTTTTAGCCATACTTTTCCTCTTGCAATGCATATTTCCCAGGTTACTGAATATTCTGTGGTTCTATTTTTAAAAATCATTCTTTTTTTTCTCCCAGTTTTATTGAGATATAATTGACATACAGCACTGTATACTTTTTTGGGGGGGTAATAGGATTTTATTTGTTTTTAATGAAGGTCCTGGGGATTGAACCCAGGACCTCGTGCTTGGTAGGCACGCACTCTACCTCTGAGCTCTACCCTCCCCACTCTACTATTTTTAATTGCAGCCCACTGTTTGGATTAACAGTCTTACTTTAGATGCAGTTATTTTTGGTGGCTCTTGTAACCTTTGAACAGTTTAAGGTCAAAAAGTTAGAAAGGCAAAAGTGGGGTTCATCAGGCAGTGGGCCTAAGGAACTTCACCTTCCTGGGACAGCTGCTCTGGGAACTGCTGCCCGGGCGCAGGTGGGACTGTGGGGCGTGCTTGCTACGGGTGGAAGGCTTGTCTCCGGGTGTGACTGCTGCTCTTCTGGTCACCTGTTCTCTCTGCTCTGTGTACGTGTCTGCCTGTCTGGCTTGTTGTTTTCAGAAGTTTTACTGAGGTATAATTTACATGCAGTAAAATCCTCCAAGTCTTAGTGTACAATGAGTTTTGACCAACATATGCATTCATGAGACCACCCATACCACTGATGTCATCACCCCCAGTATCCCCTGCCCCTTCCCACCCCTTGTCAACCGTGGATCTGCTTTCTGTCCCTGTGGTGGTGTATTTTCTAGAATTTCACGTAAACAGAATTACATAGGATGTAGTCTTTTGGGCCTGACTTCTCTCAGTTGCCTCAGTGCTTTAGCGATACTTCTGTGCTGTTGCAGTGTCAGTAGTCCGCTCCTGTCACTGAGAAGTGGTCACTGTGTGGGTCTCATGGTTGGTGTGTCCGCTCAGCAGCTGGTGAGCATTGGGGGATGTTAGAAAGAAAGCCGCTGTGCACATTTGAAACGTTCAGGCCTTCATGTGGGCGTATGTTCCGTTTCTCCGGGGTAAATACCTAGGAGTGGGAGTGCGGGGCTGCAAGGTGAGTGTCTGTTTACCTTTGTAAGAAACCACTGAACTTCCCCAAGGGGGGTGTCCCATTTTGCATTCCTGCTTTGAGAATTCCAGTTGCTGCACATCCTTGTCAGCACTTGTCACTGTCAGTCTTTTTATTTTTAGCCATTCTAGTGAGTGAACAGTGTATCTCTTTGTGGTTTTAATTTGCATTTCCCCAATGATTAATGGTGTTGAGCATCTTTTCTTGTGCTTGCCATTTGTGTATGTATATTTTTTGTGAAATGTGTATTCAGATTTTTGCCCATTTTGAATCAGGTTGTCTTTGTGTTGTAGGCATTCTTTGTGTATTCTAGATACAAGTCCAATATCAGATATGTGTTTGCAAATATTTTCCCCTAGTCTGTGACTTGCCTTTTTATTTTCTTAGTGGTAGCTTTCGTTCCTAATTTATTTTAGCTATTTTTAAATTTTGTTTTGTTTGAGGGGAGGGTAATTAGGTACTGATTTATTTATAGCGGAGGTACGGGGGATTGAACCCATAACCTCCTGTATGCTTAACATGCGTTTTACCACTGAGCTATAACCTTCCCCCAGTGGTGGCTTTTGAAAAGCAGAAGTTTTTAATGACGTCCATTTTATGACTTTCTTTGATGCTTCATGCTTTTGGTGACCTAAGAAATCTCTGCCTATTCTAAAGCCATAAAGATTTTCTCCTATCCTTTCTTCTAGAAGTTTTGCATCTTGGCTCTTCCACTTAGGTTCTGGATCCATTTCTGTGTCTGGCATGAGGTGAGGGCTGAGACCTCCTTCTTGCCTGTGACTGGTCAGTTGTTTCTGCCCTGTTTGTTTTTCCTTTCCCCAGAAAATTGTCTTGGAGCCTTTGTCAGCAATCATGTGACACTGTGCAGCTCTTTCTGGACGGTTTTGTCCCTTTGATCTATGTGTCTGTCCTCTAGTGAGAGTTTCTCCAGTGAGGCCTGGCTGACGTGACTACAACGTGCCTTTTCTGACGATGTGTGGTGTCACCTGCTGGCCCCTCCCACCCCGTGTGACTGATGTGCTCGTTCCGGGCGGTCCACACATGTCTGTCTCCACTCGCCCTGGCTGCCTTGGGCACTGAGCCTGTCTCTCTCTGCAGGACACTGGCATTGGGATGACACAGGAGGAGCTGGTGTCCAACCTGGGGACAATCGCCAGGTCGGGGTCGAAGGTAAGCACCCCCCCACCCCTTCCTCTGGTGCTGCAGCTACTCCCCTCTCAGGTTTGAGGTCTCCCCATGAAGGGCGGCTCAGACTGGAGAGGGTGTGTCCCAGACGCCCTGGATGCCAGCTTCAGAGCGACGTCCTCAGTTCATCACAGGGTCTTGTGTCGTCCCGGGGACCCTTGGAGGGGGTTTCTATTCTTTGCTGGGTGGAGAGGCTGGAGCCAGCACTTCGCCCACTGCTGGAGACCGGCCAGCCCTTGGGTCCGAGCCCGTGGGGCCACGTCTGATACATCGCCCTTCTGCCTCCTCATGCTTTTCTCCAAGTTGTTGCTTCGCGTTCACTGGAGGCGGGAGGGGCCACCCGGTTAGCGAGGTTGAGTGGACCCTGGGCTGCCTTCGTGCCTCTCCTGGGGAACAAGTGCTCTTTGTTCTTTGTGGGCCTCAGTGGTGTCTCACGTGGCCCTTTGTGCCAGGTGCTTGGAAACAGTCCAGTCATTGGTCCAGAGTGATGGGTGATTCACAGAATTTCTTCTTTCAAAAAACGGCTTACCGTGACTGTTTCCCGCCCTCGTTACATTTTTGGCTGTGTTTCTATCGAGGGAATCTGTGCTGTCACATCAGTAGCCGCTAGCATGTGGCTGTTTGAATTTAAATTAATTAAAATTAAATACAACACAATTAAGATGTACTGGCCTCTCGGTCACACAAGCCTGGTCCTCGGGAGCCAAATGTGGTCTGGTCAGCAGCGCCACATCGGGCCATGTACAGCATTTCCATCGCTGCAGACCATCTATTGACAGTGTTCACAGCAACGACTGTGCGCATTTTACTGAATTTTTGATCTTAGGAACTTTGCTTGTATGAGTTCCAATAACTGAGTGCCTTGTGCTGCCGCAAAGAAGCCTGGCTTTGGTGTGTGCTGTCTCCCACGAATCTAGGGGACACATTCAAGAGTCTCCCTGATGTCGGGGCCACTATGGCCAAGGCACTGCTGCTAGCCAGGATCATCGGGCCTCCCTTCCCCGCTCTGGGCCAGGTCCCCTGCGTGGAAAGTGGGTGGAAAGGACGGGGTTGTCATGAAGATTAAACATGGTCTGAGCCTGCACTGGAGGAACAGACATGGGGCTGGAGATGTTGGATCTTGGGAAGGGCCACCCCCATGACTGGCTTTCACCACCCCAGGCCTTTCTGGATGCGCTGCAGAGCCAGGCGGAGGCCAGCAGCAAGATCATTGGCCAGTTCGGAGTGGGTTTCTACTCGGCCTTCATGGTGGCCGACAGAGTCGAGGTCTATTCCCGCTCAGTGGATGCTGGCAGCCCCGGCTACCAGTGGCTTTCAGATGGGTGAGTAAGCGATGGTCCCCATGTCACCTGTGCCCCAGGGCTGCCAAGACAGATGTCCCAGGTGATGCCAGAGCGGGGTTCAGGAAGAGTCGGACTCCTCTCCTCAGCAAACGCCTGCTGTCCTCCCCATGATTGACACTCGGGGAGCAATTACTCCTTTTGCTCCAGGGGCTGCATGCCCATGTGGGTCCCCTGCTCTGTAACCCCCTGACTTTGTTCCCTGAGGCTTGTTCTGACCCCTTGGCCTCCCTGCCACCACAGGCCTGAGGCATCTTTGCTCAGAGGGGCCCATTTGGTCCCCATTGTGCCCTGGGCCTACCCCACAGGCTGACCAGGAGGGTGTTCCAGGAGCTTCTTGAGACAGTTTGAGGAGGATAATACCAGAGCCTCATTTCAACATGTATCTCAGTGGCCCCAGAACGTCGTTTCTGAATCCTGCTTTCCCAACCGAGTCTTCCGTCTGCCACTGTGGTTCCAGGAACGCAGGCGAGAGGGGGCCTGGCAGAGGCGCGGCCCGTTGCCCTCAGTCAGAGCAGTTTCTCTGTTTCGTTCTCTGCAGCCACAGTGCCCAGAGTAAACTTGGGCCAAGGGATGGAGCAGACCCTGCTCTTGTGCTGCTGTGCGTGTGAGGGCACCCGGCCTCGGGCAGAGGTTCGGAGGCGCATGGGGTTGGCCCTGAAGGCAGGCGTCTCCCTGGGGTCTGGCGCACATGGGGGAGCCCCACAGCCCAGCAGGACTGTCCCTGGCAGCAAGATGGTGGCCCAGGGGCTCAGCAGGCTCGAAGCAGCCACACTCTGGCTTCCTTTCGACCACAAGTCCTGTCGAGCTGGATCTGTCGGTGCTGACGGTGGAGCTTACTGTCCCTTGCCCGTGTCTTAGCTCCGGGGTGTTTGAAATTGCTGAAGCCTCCGGTGTGAGAACCGGGACCAAGATCATCATCCATCTCAAGGCTGATAGCAGCCAGTTTGCCAGCGAGGCCCGGGTGCGAGGTGAGCAGGGCCGGGGCCTCTGGGGACATGGGTGTAGGTGGCGCCGTGCCTCTTGCTGGCGTGTTCTAGGACATTCCGCCAGGGAAAGGGGGCCGGGGAGTGAGTGGGGTGGTGGGGCCAGGCCTGCAGCTCAGTCAGGTTTCCCCTCCGCCGTTCAAGGGGCGCCGTCTTCTGCAGTCGGTGGTGACGCGGCTTCTCCGTCGTCCACCTGTGTGAGACGCGGGCGCGCCTGCCTGGTGGTTTTCTCTGCCCGTGTCTGGACACTAGGGACCACCAGGTGTGCGCAGCACTTCCCCGTTAGCCCATGAGCCTCTGTTCTTGCTGCCAAGAAGGCGTCACGTCTCTCGGTGGCCTGGGGTGTGTGTTCTGCTCTCCCAGAGTGTGCAGGGCATGCACGCGGCCTCCCCAGAGCACTGACCCCTGCAGCGCCTTCCAGAACTGTCGTCTCCAGAAGCTTCCTGTGTTCATTGTCTCTCTCCTATGTCTTCCAGATGTGGTGACAAAGTACAGCAACTTTGTCAGCTTCCCCTTGTACCTGAACGGGAGGCGCATTAACACCCTGCAGGTGAGGCCCTGGGGCTTGGGCTGAGGCAGCCGTGGAGAGCAGCTGGTCTGTGTTGGGCCGGCCAAGCAGGGATGAGACAGGGGTCCCCCACTGCCCAACCCCATCCCCAGGCACTGGTATCACCCACTATACAGTTCGCCCTTTTACGGTGTATGCTGTGTTCCTGGGTGTGTTCACGGTCATGCTGCTGTCACCACAGTCAATTCCAGAGCATTCATCCCCCTAGAAAGAAACCCAGCGCCCATGAGCAGTCGCTCCCCTTCCCGTCCCCTAGCCCTGGCAACCACAGTCCACTTTCTGAACTGGCCTTTTCTGGACATTTCATAGAAATGGAGTCAAACTGTGTGGCCTTTTGTGTCCAGCTTCTTACCGTGTTTTTAGGATTAGTGCTGGTTGTGGCATTTCCTTTTCATGACTGACTTCCCATCATGCAGCTGGGCCATGTTCTTTAGCCACTCACCTGCTGCCGTGCAGGCTCGTCCAGACTCTCCCTCCCAATTCGCCTGTGTCCTCCTGATACTGGTGGGGACAGGCACTTGTATGTGTACTTGACCAGAGCTGGAGTCAGCGGGGCGGAGTTGGAGGGTCCAGGAGGCAGGTCCTCGCGGGCCCAGGGGTCGCCCGTGCCACCCCCTGCGCCACCCTGGGCTCCACAAGCCCCACTTGTCAGCCCCACGTGTTGTCGGAAGGATGCGTTTGAAACATGAGGTCCCCGCCCATCTCCCCTTCCAGGCCGTCTGGATGATGGACCCCAAGGACGTGGGCGAGGGACAGCATGAGGAGTTCTACCGCTACATCGCTCAGGCGCACGACAAGCCCCGCTACACCCTGCACTACAAGACAGACGCGCCCCTCAACATCCGCAGTATCTTCTACGTGCCGGAGACGGTGAGCCCGGCATCGGCTCGCGGGGGTCGTCTGCTGTTCCCTGGGCTTAGGCATCGGTGGGCTTCCCCTTCAGCACAGACTTCACAAAAATGACCTTGGCAGCATCAGAATGAAAGGAAATCCTATTCCTCTGGACGGGTAAACAGAGTTTAAAGTGAGGGGTGCTGAACAGAGATGTTCGGCCAGCAGGCCTGGGCCTTGTGGATGGACATGGGCTCAGGGTGCCCGCGGGCTTCCTGTCTCCAGGCCGCACGTCCTCCTTCCTCCTTCCACTTTGCCCCAAAACTTCCTGGCTCACACAGCCCCGCAGAGGCCCTGCCGCATCTGCAACAGAGAAGCCTGCTCAGAGGCTGAACCCGGTCTCCTGGCTTTACTTGCCTGCGGCCCTCTTAGCTCCCCGCCCGTTACCCACTTCGGAAAGCTCTGTTCTGCCCTCCCCATGCATGTGCTCCGCAGGCGCAGCACCAGCATCCCCGGGGCTTGTTGGGAATGCGGAGCCCCGGGCCCTGTGTGAGGCCTCCTGGGTCAGTCTTCATCTTAACAAGATGCTGAGGTGATGTGTGTGCAGACGGCAGCATGTGAGGCACTGGTGTAGAGCAGGGTTGGTGGACGTTTCTGAGAAGCGCAGGCGGTGAGCACCTAGGGCTCCACCGTGGCGTGGAAAGCTTGGGGCTGATCGTGCGGGACAGATGCACGTGGCCAGGGCCCAGGAAGCTGTAGACACTGGAATTTGGATTTCACATATTTTTCACAGATTGTGAAACGCTCTTTCGTGCCTTTTCCTTCAATCATTGAAAAATTGAAAAGCCATTCTAAGCTACACAAATCCACAGGCTCTAGTTTGCTGACTCCTGACCCCTAGCAGGTTTGGCTCTGTTCACAGAAACATGCAGGTCATCGTTTTTATGGGGGGCACCAGCTGCCCAGAGCCATGGTGTGGGGGTCCTCCCAGGGCCTCTCTGGACTTTTGAACAGACAGACACGGCGGGTTCCCGGCCCCTCCTCCTCGGGACTCCCTGCCTCAGATCTCCCAGTCCAGGTGGCCTCTAGGAAAGGGGTCCCCACCAGTGACCTCGTAGGCTCTGCCTCCTAGTGAGGCCGTCTCGGATTTCTGCTGTGGCCGCCTGACACTGCCCTTTCCTCGCCTGCAGAAACCATCCATGTTTGATGTGAGCCGGGAGCTGGGCTCCAGCGTCTCGCTGTACAGCCGCAAGGTCCTGATCCAGACCAAGGCCACCAACGTCCTGCCTGCGTGGCTGCGCTTCATTCGAGGTACCAGGCTGGCGTCTGTACCGTGCCGTGTGGGCCAAGGCCCTGTGGCCCCGGGCCCAGGAGCAGCTCCCCACCTGGGATGTGCTGTCGTTAGGCAGGGCTCACCTTTGATGAGCTGGCATCCTCTCCCACAGCCCTGGGAGGCAGTGCAGAGCCTTCCAGGGAGCTTCCTGCCTCCATGCGCTAGTTTTGGTTGACTGATCCATGATGTGTTTGTGAATCTGAATGGAAAACCCAAGAGGTGGTTTTCAGAGCATCCAGCTGATGCTGAAATTGTAAACTTGTCCTGGCAAAGGCTTGCCCACCTTACCTGCTTTTCTTCTGATCATATGGTCGTGACCTGGGCTCTGTGTAAATCCTGGGACATTGGCAGGACGGCGAGGGGCCAGGGAGCTGTGCCCCCTGCCGAATGTCCTCCCCTCTTGCCCACACATGGTCTGATTTCTTGATGGGCCTGTGTGTCGCAGGTGTGGTGGACAGCGAGGACATCCCCCTGAACCTGAGTCGGGAGCTCCTGCAGGAGAGCGCGCTCATCAGGTGAGCGGGGCTGTACTCGGCCATGTGTGCTTTGCCCCCGGGCTTTACTTCATGCTTTTAGAAGAGGGGTTTGGAGACTGACACTGAGGAAAATTGTTGCTGGTGCTGGGGGGCATTCCCTCCTTTGGCCAATCCCTGCCACCCAGTCCCCGGGTGGCCACGGCAGGAGGGAGTCCAGGACAGCTGTCCCTGGGCGGACAAGGCAAAGGAAACCCCAGAGCCGGGAGAACACCTGAGCTCGGGCCTGGAAGACCACTGACAGTGTGCAGGAGGCAGGGCACCCGCCTCTCTCCTGAAGATGTTGCTCTTGAATCCGCGTGAGCTGGGGTGGCCAAAGCTCTCCTCTCCCCATCCTGATTGTCTACCGAGCCCTTCACATACAACCCGTGTCATCCTTGGAGGTGGGAGCCACTGTGCCTCCATGTCATAGTTGCAGAAACTGAGTTAGAGAGGTCACACCCATCAGTGAGCAAACTTGTATTTGAACCCACGTTTTCTGACCTCAGCCATGTGCTCTGTGGGCTGACCCAGACGGCAGGTGAGACCCGAGGCTGTGGGTGGAGGTGTGTCCGGCCAGTTGGCCACTTGGCCACTTGGCCATTTGTGGTTTTCAGGGCCAGGCTGTTGGTCTGAGCATTTATCTAGACCACAGAGTCAGCCTTAAATGAAATCTTTGAAAGAACCTAAAAGAATCAGAAACTTAGAGAAAGGGTAGAAACATGATCCAAAGTACGTTTTTTGCCCTGAACCCTTTGAGAGTAAGGTGCCCACCCTGTGCCCATGGTCCCCAGATATCTTAGGGTGTCTTCCCCGAGAACACAGAGGGCCTCCTCCCTGCTCCCATGCGGCTGGCGGTCAGGGAGTCTCACCCTCAGGCCCGCGCCCATCTGCACTCGGGCCAGTGTGTCCTGTGGAGGAAGGGGTCCAGCCCAGGGTCACACCCGCCTTTATTGCTGCGTCTCTGGCTCCTGGAGGCTGGCTGACCAAGTTCCGCAGTCTTTTCCCCAACTTTCGTGACCCGGAGGCCTCTGCTGTGTAGACTGGCCCTCGGCGTGTGCCGTGAGGCTCCCGCTGGCTGTGGTGCGGGAACAGCCCAGTGCTGCTTCCTCCTGTCAGGTGGGTGTGACTTCGACCACGGTGACACAGCCTTCACATGTGAAGTTTCTCTTTTCCCCTTTGTAATTAATACCTCTGTGTGGTTGGTGGTTTGTTGCTTCGTCAAACTTCCAGCATATTTATTTCTTATAACATGTATGTGCATTTCTTGGTACCTGTATCTGTAACTTACTTACATGAATTGATTTGCAGTTTTATTCAGTGGGTTATAATCCACTGTCATTGTTTATTTTGATGTCCAGACTGTCCCCGATTTAGTGGGAGCCTGCTCAGGCTGACTCCTCTGCCCTTTGACCCTTCCCTGTCGTGCTCGGAGCACGTCTGTATCTATTGAGTTCACCCAATACCAACCAGCACCGCCTCCATGTTGCTCCTTCCCAGGTTTGCTTCCTTTGCAACGAAATCTGCCCCTCGTTGTCCTTCGTGTGTCTCCCTCTGACCAGTCCGCTCCACGCAACCCGTCAGCCATTGCCGCTGCCCTCCCCCAGCTTGGATCCTCCCTTCACCTGCTTGGGCCCTGACTCCACACAGTGGGCTGCCTGCTAAGGGGGTGTCTGCCAGACTTTCTGACAGCTGCTCACTGTCCCCAGCCTGGATCCCCTCTTCTGGGGTCCTTGGGCTCTGACACTCCACGCCAGGCCCCCCAGACCCGCTGCACGGACACCCTCCCTGTCCCATCCTAGCTGCCGTGACTCCCCCACCACAGATGGGCGCTACCCGGTCCCACTCCGCCCTGTGGCTGAAGGACTGAGCCATTCAGGGTGGGAGTGGAAGAGAAAAGCTTAAATGAATGCTAACCATTATTGTTCCTCTCCCCTGGGTCATTAAGGAAATATATGCTAATTGTACTTTTTTAAAGGGAAGTCTGATTATTAACGAAATAAAAATACCCCTAATCTCAGCAATAAAATTGCTTGTAATTTTATGCCATCATATAATCCTGTGGAAAACACCCTGATGCACAAAACCCGTTTTGTATAATTTTAGTGCACACGTAGAATACCCCGTACAGACCCGAGCTGAAGTGGTCACATTGCTTGCACAGCATTGTTCCACACGGAAAACTATACTGTGCAGCAAGCAGTACACGTGGTCCTCGCACACCTGTACTGCACGTGCCCTGTGGCTCATCCATGTTGGGATTCTTCCGGTTTTTCTTCCAACACAGGCTCTTTTTCATGTCATTAGGATCGTGTCATTAGAGGATTGATTTTTAATGTCTGTGTGGTTTTTTATCATTCATTTCAACCTTCTGTCTCCTGTTGGACATAATTGTTTTCTGTTTTCTGTGCTTAGTGAAAATCACGGTCCATTCATCTTGGTGACTCATGAGGGTGTAATCTTAGAATCATCCAAGCTGACCTTTTGTTGCCCTGGTTGGGTGGGGGGGCGGGGTGTGTGTGTGAGCTCAAATTCCTGCCTGTAGGGGGCTCTTGCCTCCTTATCCCGTGTTAGCCAGGGATCACCCTTCTTTCCGCTTCATCTTCTGTAGTTTGGCCACAGTGGTCTGTGTCGTCACTTCCCTGATTATTAGTGGGGCCGAATGGTTTTTCTTATCCTTCTGGTTATGTTTTTTAAGAAAGTTGCTTGTTCGTGATAAATGCCTTTCTGTTCTGTAGGAAACTCCAGGGCGTTCTACAGCAGAGGCTCATAAAATTCTTCATTGACCAGAGTAAAAAGGACACTGAAAAATATGCCAAGTTCTTTGAAGATTACGGCTTGTTCATGAGGGAGGGCATCGTGACCACGGCCGAGCAGGAGGTCAAGGTAGGATCTGGGTGTCCGGGCCTTTCTCTGTGCTGCCTTGAGCTGTGGAGGAAGCTGCTGGAGACCAGAAACGTGGGCTTCCCAGGACATGACGAGGGCACCCCCAGGCACCCCGTCACCACTCCTGGGGTCAGGAAGCCTCTTTGGCCTCTGGACCCAGCAGGTTGGCCCCAGCAGATCCAGCTTGCACAGGAGCACAGGCTCCCCTCCTCCAGGGCCCCGGCCCAGGGCCAGAGGGGAACAGGCATGAGGCGTCTCCTCCCACGAGGATCTGGGAGGCTTGGGAGATCACAGAAGGTGAGATGGGGCGAGGCACCTGGTTCGTGGGGTGGGGAGTGCAGGTGTGTCTTCGGTGCACTTGGTAGAAATTCTTCAGCACTGCCACTGGAGCCAGATCTCAGTCACCAGTGCAGTTACGTAAAGACTATATACGATTGCTCCACGATCATTTTCTGGCTGTTTTTAAGTTGTAATTCTCATACCGTACAATCTACGTTTTAATTGTTTTTTTAAACAGAGGTACTGGGGATTGAACCCAGGACCCTGTGCATTCTGAGCATGTGCTCTACCACTGAGCTACACCCTCCCCCTACAATCTGCCTTTTAAAGTGAACAATTTAGCAGCACTGAGTACAGTCATGGGTTGTATGGCCACCACCACCTAGTTCCAGAACATTTCTGTCACCTCAAAAGGACACTCATCCCCACTAAGCGGTCACTCCCAGTGTCAGGGTTTTCCAGAGCAGCAGCGGGGACGGAGGGTGACCAACCGTCTGGGGCCCCAGGACGCGGCACTGCAGGCGGTGGTGAGGGGGCCTGGGGGCCTAGACGTCGGCCTGCTCTTCCCGGGCCTCCTCCCTCCTGGCTGTCAGCGCTCAGACTCCACCTGCTCTGTCGTGTCTGTAGATAATGGCCTGTCAGGGGCTCTTCTCCATGCTTTACAAATCACCCCTCAGTCAGTCACTCCCTCGGTCAGTCAGTCAGTCAGTGTACTTGGTTTGTTAATGAGGACCCATCACGTGCATGAAGCGCAAGCTTTGCATATGAAGCTAGAGCTGGGGGCTCCCAGATCCTTGTTTTTGCTTGTCTGTCCACTTTTCATCCCCACCATGTCACTCCTCCACCTGGGCCTGGCCCTCCCCCGTCTCCCCGTGTCCCCACTGCTTGTCTACGCTGGGGCTGTCGGAGGTGAGTTGGTGGGGTAGGTGAGGCAGAGTGTGTCAGGTCACGTCCAGAATGGTGGCCCCAGGGAGCCAGGCCCTGGCTGGTTGCTGCTCCCCGGCCTCACAAGTGGCTCCCTCCTGGAGTCCCGAGGCCGTCAGTGGCCACACCTGCATCTCAGCTGACAGGAAGGGACGGACAAGCCCCTCCTTTCAGGGCCTGTTCTCTTAGTCATACACCCTACTCTCGCTTGCACCCCCTGGGCTAGGACTCATCCTCGGGCTGTGAGGAGGGCTGGCAAGTGTAGGCTTCACACCCCTGTCCCCTGTTGGCTGAGAGGCACTCTGTGATTTGGGACAGAGGGAGGATGCTGGGTCCAGGAGTGGGCTGCGCACAACAGGGTGACCACTCCTGGGACGGTGCACGCGGGTCACCTGGAAAGCCCCTCTTGGTGAGGCCCTGGGCCCCCTGGGGTGGAAGGTGCTCTCCAAGGTCCCCTGAACTTAGGACGTGGGACCCAACGGACAGCACGAGAGCTCCCAGGGCTTGAGCCAGCCCAGAACGCCATCCCCGGCCAGGCTTCTGCAGGAGCTGCCTCGGCTGCAGGACATGGGGGCCCACTGGGTGGGTGTGAGGCCAGCCAGCACCTTTCCTCCCTCCACCGGAGGTTCTGAAGTCCAGAGTCCAGAGACTTTCAGAGGCAGGACCTGGAACAAGCAGTGACCCAGCTTCTGTGCGTCTGCAGGAGGACATCGCGAAGCTGCTGCGGTACGAGTCGTCGGCGCTGCCCGAGGGCCAGCTGACCAGTCTCCCCGACTACGCGAGCCGCATGCAGGCCGGCACCCGCAACATCTACTACCTGTGTGCCCCCAACCGGCACCTGGCTGAGCATTCGCCCTACTATGAGGCCATGAAGCGGAAAAACACGGAGGTGGGTGAGCCAAGGGGCAGGCTCGGCCTCGCCAGGCCTCCCTGCACTTGTCCTCCCCTTGGGCAAGGTCGGAGGGTAAGGGTGTCTGAGCACCGAGGGAGGGTCCCGTGCTCAGTGGGAAATGGCTGAATGTGCCCAGGACCCAGAGGCCCGAGCACTGCGAGCCAGCGTCCAGGGCACGGAGGCCGGGCCCAGTCTGCTGCTAGTTCACATCTCTCTAGGAGGTGATGGGATTTCTCTGTAAACAGCGGCACTCTTTCTATTGCTAAGACATAGCCAGAGTCTCCCCTAGAACCGTTGTAAACCTCCTTATCCACAAGGCCCCCTAGTGGCCCCGTCTCGGGCTGAGACTTCCCCCGGCCTGAAGGGCGCGATCTGGGGCCTCGCAGGTTCTGTTCTGCTATGAGCAGTTTGATGAGCTGACCTTGCTGCACCTTCGTGAGTTTGACAAGAAGAAGCTGATCTCCGTGGAGACGGACATCGTCGTCGACCACTACAAGGAGGAGAAGTTTGAGGACGGCTCCCCAGGTGGGCTCGCTTCCCTTCTCTCCGGGCACAGGGTGGGCGGTGGCCAGGGAGGCAGGTGACGCCGGGTGGGCAGGGAGCTGGCACTTCGCTGCAGGGCCTCTTCTGTCCTCCAACAGTGGGTTCTGGGGGTTTTCTTTTCTTGTGTGTGTCTAGGCCACTAGCCTGTATGGAAGAAGCTGTTTGGGAACATTGTAATGATTACGGGGAATTGTCTCCCTGTTTACATCCTGAGGTCTCTCCAGTGCTCCTTCCAGCTTGCCCCTCAGAGTGACCAAGCTTCCTAAGAGAATCGGAAGTGTTAAAGCCCTAACAGTTCCATGGGCCTCAGGCAACCAAAAGCGTCCTCTCTGAGGTCCCATTTTATCTGCTTAATTTTAGATGAAGAGTGTTTTGGTAGCTTCTATCTTTGTGCCGGTGGCCGGGAGGGGTGGAGGGAACCTGCTGGGAAGTTGGTGTTGGAGTGTTGACATTTCAGGCCCCAGTGGGAGCCTGAGGGAAGGGAGCTGTGGAGATGACCTCTGAGCTCACTCCCTTCTGCTCCCCTGTAGCTGGTGACTGCCTGTCAGAGAAGGAAACAGAGGACCTGATGGCCTGGATGAGGAATGTGCTGGGGTCCCGTGTCACCAATGTGAAGGTGAGGCCTCCCAGGGACGGGGACCTCCCTTGGCATGCACTCGCTGGCAGGCCTGCCGGCTCTGGGCTGCGGGCCTGGTGGGCGTTCTCCCGGCGGTGGTTGGAGCTGTGGTGTGAGGTGGAGACCAGGCTTATTGCTGGTGCTTCTGTGCGTGTGGCCACATACGGCCCGGGTGTTGCTGAGGCAGGGCAGGTAAGCTCTGCCGCCTGTCCCTCCACTTTGTAGAGCAAGTGGGAACCAAGAAAGTGGAAGGTGAGCAGCTGAGGGCCTAGTGGGCAGGTGGAAACAGAGAAGTGTCCCAAGCTGGCCTCCCCAGGACCATCCTGGTCCCGGTCTAGAGGACATGAGGGCTTACAGTCCAGCTTGGGTTGTTAGTCGGGGACCTGGGTAGGCTTTATTTAATGAGCTAGGAACCCACCAGTCCAGCTCAGAGCTGCAAGAGAAAGACAGTCACCAAAGAACAGGAGTCATTGGCTGAGGGACATGTTCAGGGGTGGCCCCAAGGGATAGGCAGGTGTGCAGGGCAGGGATGGCCAAGAGCAGAGGAGGGCGGACTGGGGGCACTACAAGAGGTCGTTGTGGGACTCTGAGGGAGCCAGGCGTGCAGCTGGGATTTCTTCATGTAGCACACATGTTGTGTCTATTTGACAACGGTGACTCATTTAAAGTGACCTAGGAGGTAGGTGGAATTATTGTCTGAGTCCTGTGAGGGAAACGAGGTAGAGCACTTCCCCAGGTCACACAGCAGGGAGGCTGTGGGGCCGGGTCCGTGCTGTGCTGCCGGGACAGGAGCAGCCGTGCGGAGTCTGTGCTGTGAGCCCGGAGGCCCGAAGCCTGCGGGGTGGGAGGAGGGGAAGGCGGGCCTGCTCACAGAGATCTGGTTGTGAACATTTGTGCATTGGGAAAAGGTGTATTTGATAAAATAAAGGCCAGAGGGAGCCACAGGGAAGGGGTGGGTGAGAGCATTGTCTGCAGGAAGGATGGACGGGGTTGAGGCAGACAGAGCTGGGGAAATGGGGCGGCTAGTCCTGGTGGGTCTTAGTCACTGGAGGGCTTGGCAGGGGCCCCTGTGGAGGAGAGAAGGGCAGATAACACCAGGCAGGATGGACGTTGGGCGGGAACTGATATGGTAGAAATTGGTGGCTTTAAGGGAGAGGAGAGGAGGGAGTTCCCAACCGGGATGCAGTTTGGCTCCCTTTCCCTTACTGGGTGATCAGGAGGGAGGGGCATCGCTGGCTGAGGTCTGCGAGGTTACGTCCCTGAAGACCTGCGTTCTCCTGCCTTGTCCTCTGGGGATGCTTCATAATGTGGTCAGCACCTGCCAGGGCCCCCCACCCCCAGGCCTCCCTCAATCCCTGCCTTGCCTGTAGGTGACTCTTCGACTGGACACCCACCCTGCTATGATCACTGTGCTGGAGATGGGGGCCGCGCGGCACTTCCTGCGCATGCGGCAGCTGGCCAAGACCCAGGAGGAGCGCGCTCAGCTGCTGCAGCCCACGCTGGAGATCAACCCCAGGTGAGGCTGCCGGCTCCTGCGAGGTAACCGTTTATGACTGTAAGTGAGTAGCTTTTCTCTTATTTATCACACACAGAAAGTGCAGAAAGCTTCTGTACAGTTGATAAATATTTATAAACACACTCATAACTGAACTACATTAAACTACACCCACATAAGGTTTAAAAAAACGGCCCTGCCAGCTGCCAGACACTCCCATTTTCCTCCCACTTGGATTCCGTCCCACCGCCCAGGGGGAACCACAGTTCTGACTTGTCTCGGTCGCTTCCTCACTGTCTACTTGTGCGTTGTCACACAACCAGCTCGGCTTTGCCTCTTTCTGAGCTCATGCAGATGGACCCCTGTGCATGTGTCTCCTTTGAAGCCTTACTTACTTCACTCAGTGCACGAGGCCATCCGCGGGGGTGGCTGTAGTTCATGTTATGGCAGGATCACATTCAGGGTACGACTCTACCTCTGCAGTTACTTATTCTGTTCTGATGGACATCCAGGGTTCCCGTTTGGAGGCTGTTGGGAACAGGTTGCTCTGAACGTTCTTGTCCCTGCCTGGTGCGTGTGCTTCTCTGGGGCGTGTGCCTGGGCAAGCCAGCTGCTCCCCGAAGGTGGGCGCCAGCTCCCCTGGCAAAGTGTGAGACTCCTAGGCTCTACGCGTTACCCTTTGGGCTTGGCTTTCTTTTTCTTTTTTTTAACACCTTTTATTGTGATACAGTTCCTGTGCAGTAAATTATGCATATTCCAGATGTACAATTTGATGAATTTTGATAGATGTAGACACCTATGAAACCACCACCACAAGGGCTTGCCTTTCTTGTGACACGCTTTCTGAGACTGTTCTTTTTCCTATTGGGCTTACAAGAAAAGAGGTAGTTCTTTATATATACTTTATCAGTTGCAAGTATCTTTTCTTTGTCTTTTCATCTGTCTAGGGATGTCTTTTGGTGCGAAGTTCTTAATTTTAATATAATCAAATGTATACATCTTTGTTAGATGCTTTTTTGGGTCTTATTTAAGAAATCTCTTTACCAGACATGAATTTCTCCTGTATCTCCTTCTAAAGGCTGTAGTTTTGGCCTTCTGTGTTGGTCTAGCCTGTCTCTAACTGGCTCATCTGGGATGTGGGGGGTCCAGTTACATCTTAGTCCATGTGGATACCCAGTGGCCCATGCAGTTAACTACATACATCTCTCCTCTCCCAGCTGATCTTTGCTGCCTTCTCTGATGAGTATCTCTTGGTAACATGTTTTCTTTAGAGTTCTTGTACATTTTTTAATAGTTTATCTTTGATGTGTCTTATTCATTGGATATTTTAAGATTTCACTTTCTAACTGTTGCTGTTGTAAATGGAGACAGTTTCTTTTTGGAAATTGACTTTGTATACGAGCAATAACTTTTTAAATGAAATGACATATGTTACCAAAAATGTCAGAAAGCAGCAAAAAGAAAAAGTCCGTAGTCTCACCCCCACCACAGTCACCGTACCGTTTGCTATATTCTTTTAGACTTTCCCTTATATTTTTATTTTTTATTTAGTAACCAATTTGTTTACCATCACTTTCTCATAAATTTTTTCCATTGCTTAAAACCATAAATTTCCTTAAAACTACTTGGAAATGGAGGAAGGTTCCTTTTCCAGTTTCTGAGCCAAATTACTAGCCATGGAATTACCAGATTTGCATTAGCTTGTGGCTGCTCAGATGCTTCTGCAAAGAGCCGTCCAGGTTGGCGTAATGGGCACGCGGTTCCCAGCCGTGAGTCCTGGGCTACAGTGGATACCAACTGGACCCCCACCTGCTTTAACTAGTTCTGGCACAAAAGTGGTTTTATAAGGTAGCTGTGCAGAGTGCTCATTTCTACTGCAGGACTCTTATTTTATGATTTGTTTGCTTTTAAATTTGGTAATATGTTCACATGGTTTAGAATTCGAAAGAACCAAAGGCATGAATGGTGAAATGTCCTCCTGTCTCTGTCCCCAGCACGGCTGCCTTAGGTTCCCCCGGATCTCAGAGGCTGTGTGTGCCCCCCTGCCCCCACCACACAGGCTGTGCTTTTGAAGTGCTGGCTGCTGAGGACAGTGCTGTGAGGGAAGGGATCGCTGAATCTCAGACAGGATGCCACAGAGACTCCCGCTGTCCTCTGTGCCTGTCCCCAGTGCCTTCAGTTTTAATCAGACGTCCCAATTTTTGCCATTCTCAAAAATGAAAAGTTATACCTTATAATTTTGATGTATGTTTCCTACATTCATGGTATTTTTTCCTGTGCAGAAAAATTCAGTTTTTATGTACTCATTCTTTTCTTTCTGACTTCTGGGTTTACATTTTGTTTGACGAGGCCTTCTCCTTCAGATTATAAAACATTTCTTCCAGTATACTTTTTTGCTCTTACTTTTTACATTTAATCTTTGATGGTTCTGGAATTTATTTTGCTCTAAGTAATCACACAGGCATCTAACTTACTTCCTAGGTGCTGCCCAGTTATCCTGTCTTTATTGGGTCCTAACGAAATTCCTGTATGAATGGGGCCATTTATACATTATCCACTTTGTTACATTGAGCTGGTGCCTTTTCATTTTCCAGAACTAACTGTTTAATTACTGGAGCTATATGATCTATTTCAACAACTGGGACTTCCTCCTCCAGCCTCTTCTGGCTGTTCTTCCATGTTTACTTTTCTGTATGAATTTTTTAGGTGTAAAAGAAATCTTAATGTAAAGGAGTCCTATTAAGTGTATGGATTAATTTAAGGAAAAGTTTCACCTTTATTTATGATCCAGTTATCCAGGAACTAACAAATGTCTTTTCATACAGTAAACTCATCTTTCTCTCCTTTAGTAGTGTTTAGTTTATATTAATTTTGGTACTTACTGCATTTCCTAATATTAAAACTTTAGACTGATTCTCTTGGGTTTTCTGGGAATATCATTTGTAACTGATCATTTACATTTAATTTTTATGTGCCTTACTTTTTTATACCGGACCATCCTATTACTCTGTTTTGAATGTTCTGATAACCCCAACATTTCAGAAAAGTCACTAGAACACAAAATTAAAAGCCCTTGTGCTGAGTGTGTGCCTCATGCTCTGAGCTGACCTCTGGGGGGTCTCTGTGGTGCTGAGTGTGTGCCCCCCGCCCTGAGCTGACCTCTGGGGGTCTCTGTGGTGCTGAGTGTTGCCCCCCGCCCTGAGCTGACCTCTGGGGTCTCTGTGGTGCTGAGTGTGTGCCCACGCCCTGAGCTGACCTCTGGGGTCTCTGTGGTGCTGAGTGTATGCCCCACGCCCTGAGCTGACCTCTGGGGGGTCTCTGTGGTGCAGGCACACGCTGATCAAGAAGCTCAGTCAGCTGAGAGACCAAGAGCCGGACCTGGCCCAGCTGCTGGTCGATCAGGTGAGTCTCCTGAAGATGCGCTAAGAGCAGAACTGAGGAGCTGGGCTGCCAGTTTCAGAAGCCAGCTTCTTCCTTTCAGGTGGGACAGTTCAGTTTCCTTTAAATCCCTGTTTTAAAAGGAACAGCTCTTTTCTTTCTTCTCTCTGCATTTGAGTGAGGTCCCTGGGTTGGACCTGGGACCCAGTGTTGCTCACCCACTAAAGAGCTGCTGCCCTGCCTTTCAGATCTATGAGAACGCCATGATCACAGCGGGGCTCATCGACGACCCCCGACCCATGGTCAGCCGCCTGAACCACCTACTGGTCAAGGCCCTGGAGCGACACTGAAGGCCAAGGGGCTGGCCGGGTTCTGGGGTGCAGCCCAGGGGCCGTGAAAGCCCCAGGTCGTCCTGCGGAGTTATGCCTCCAGGAGTGGGGACAGATGGAACCGTGTGCCTCTGCTGTGGGGCAAGGCAGCCGAGGGGAGCACAGGAAGGACTGGATGCCGCCAATGAGAACACCCTCTTTTGAGCTTTATTACTTTAATTAAAAGGTACTTCTTAGTGTTAGACTTCTTGTCCAGACTGAGGTGGTGAGATACTCTGCTGACACAACCCCCAAGCTTACAATGGAAGCAGGTAGTGAGGAAAAGTCTACCTTCCGTCTCCTTCCTCAAATTCCAGCTGCCATGGTGGTTGGGGGCCCAAGGGGGAGGAATGGGGACCCTAGGGACTAGGCACTGATTTCTTAAACTCCATCCCCGGCACTTGGACGTGACGATAGGATCACTTCCATCAGGCTCACTTCAGCGTCACCTCCACCGGGTAATGGTCGCTGACGGCTAGGGCCTGCAGGAGACGTGCAGTGAGTGCAGGGACACCCAAACATTGAGTTCTCTGCAAACAGTGCTCCTGGGGGCAGGTCAAGATTTGGACCCAGGCCCAGTCCCATCTGCCTGAGAAGAGACCAAAAGGCTCCCAGGGCCACAGGCAAGTGGCTCTTCCAAGCCCATGAGAAAAGCAGTGGGTCCAGATCTCACTACGTTCCTGTGTCCCAGGCTCCCGTTCAAGCTGTGGTGTGTACAGGACACTTACCATAGCGTTGCTTAGTCCGTATGCAGATTCGAAGTCAAAGCGAGCGGCCGAATTAGTAACCACAGCACTTTGGAGCAGAGATCCCGCAACCACAATCCTGCAGCCCCCGACATGGGAGAAGGTCGTCCTTAGCCCACTGTCTGGCTCTGTGCCCTTAAACACTGGGGCCCAGCATGTCCCCCCAGATCATCTCTTGGTCTGGTAAATTTCCCATGGCCCCACTGTGCCCCCACTGCTCTAAAGCGCCCCTGTGGACCTGGCTCAGTGTCCCCACCACACTGAGCTGCGGGACCTGGGGCACCCTGGGCCCTCGGGCCCCACACTGCAAACCACTAACCTGCATACCTTCCAGTGTCCCATGTGTGCTTCACCCCACAACTAAGAAATGCTGCTCCTTTCATTCCATTTTCTAAGTGAACTGACTGGCGCTCAGGAGGGTGAGTGTCAGGTCTGGAAACCATTTCTGAAGCTGCTCATGGGGGCACCCTCATCCCCCCTGGGGGCTCAGTGCCAGGCAGGCCTGGGCCCTGCTCACCTGTCGTAGGCGCAGTCCGTGGATGTAACTGTGGTGTCGGCAGAGTCAGGAATCAGCCACTGGAAGGCGGAGCTCGTGCGCAGGCGGATGGATGACCACTGCGAGGAGGTGACGTAGCTGCAGTCCGCATTGAAGTCGCCCATCAACATAATGTCCTACCAGGAGACACCAGCTGGTTGGCCTGGGGCAGGGATGAGGATGAGGGCCTCCAGAGCCCAAGGCGGCGGTGGGGGGGGGCGCCTCACCTCCAAGTCCCACTTCTTGCGGACATCCAGGTAGACGTCATACAGAGAGTTGATCTCAGCCACTGCATCTGACGGGGCCGCGTGCAGGGGAACGATGGCAAACTCCTTGACCTCTGTGGAGACGCAGTCACGCTGAGCAGTGTGGACACATGCTCAGTAGTGTGTCAGGGGCTGGGGTGGAGGCCACATGAGACCATCCCCACGGATGGACATTTTCCTAAGTAACTTCAATGTAAGACCAGAACCCTAGGGGCTTGGGGACAGCACAAGATGTGGGCTTCCAAGGAGTCCCGGGAAGGGCGGGGCTGGGCCGGGCGGCAGCACTCACTGGTGGACGGGGAGGAGAACTTGACCACGGCTGGCTCCCGGCTGAAGGTGTCGTTCCCGCAGGACTCGCAGCCGTCGTCGTACTGGTAGCTGTCCAGCACGGACACCTGGTCGGGTCTGTGGAGGGCGGTTAGCCTGGGGCTCGGGTGCCCCCTCATTGTGTGAAACCCAGGTCCAGGGGACGGTTCTCCCACCACATCCTCCTGCCTCTGCACAGGTTGTGAGGCCTTGGGGGCACAGCCCAACTCAGACCCCTGCTCTGTGGCCCCAGTTCTTGCCCCTGCGCCTTGGGGGAAGGAGCTCACGGGCCCTGGAGCACACACCCAGAGCCCCCGTGGGTACCCTCTGGGGAGCTGGCCGCAGCTTTACCTAAACACGAAGAGGTAGCGCTCCTTGTAGCTGTTGCGTCCCAGTGGCTCACTGACCACATAGTGAAAGGTGTTAGGGTCATCCCTGGAGTGAGGAAACGAACATCTTGGTCAGGGGATCCCTGGGAACCCTCCTGCCACCTACAGCAGGGCTCCTGCCCACATCCATATCCCAGGAGCCTGGCTGAAATGTCCTGGAAGGGATGGTCTCGCCTCCACCACCCCACCCCCGTGCCTCCTGGTGCCCCTCTGCTGTCACCCACGCATTAAGTTTGTCCAGCAGCTTCCCCACGGCTGTCAGGTGGCTGTCTCTGACCTCCTGGATGAGGGCAATATCATAGCGGTTCAGGATCTGGGGATGAGACCACAGCGGTGCTGAGCAGGGGTAGGCAGGGCATCTGAGCCCACCTGCTCTGAGTCACAGGGCTGAGGTGCTGCTCTCCAGATGCCTTTTCATCGCTGCTTGGCCTGCAACCAGCAGCTTTTGCCTGGGACTCTACTGCCAGCCATGGACGAGGGCCCTGTCCCCCTGCCTGACGGGAGCCAAGACCAGACACTCTTGATGCCCTCCCCACCCCAGCCACCTCCAGGACTGACCACAGGCCCAGTATTCCTGAGCCTGTCAGAGGCAGCCCACTGCATCCCAGAGTTCCTTGGCAACAGGCCAGCCTGGATTTACCTTCACAATGTAGTTGGAAAGGGTGGCATTGGACATCTTGGTCTCCCCAAAAGTCCGGATGTTGAAAGCTGTTATTTTCAGGGACAGGGCCACCTGCAGCAGGCCAGCCAGGGCGAGCAGCACCCCCATCAGTCTGGCACTCCTCATTCTGCAGCAGGAGGGGTGTTTGTACGTGGGCCTGGGGGTAGTGGACACAGCACCCACTTCCTCCCCGAGTCCAGAGCTGGGCGGGGCTGGTGAGCCCTATGGGCTGTGCTGAGCAGGCCAGGGCGAGCCTCAGAAGCCGCACCAGTGTCCGGAAAGCCAGACACCAAGCACCAAGTAACGGACCCTGGTCTTCTCACTCCTCACCCACTGGCAGAGGGGGCCCCACAAGGGTCACCAGCCTAGGAGGCCTGTGGTGCTCACTGTTGGTGGGGCACCAGCTCACTGCCCTCCCTGCTCCAGACATCCACCCAGCCAGGACTGGCCAGGGCTCTCCCCAGAGTGGCCATAGTTACCAAGAGGGACCCCATGGTGCTTCTGGGCCTGGTGCCCACCTTCCACAGGCCACGTGTCACACAGCCATTGGGGCACCAAGCACACTCACCTGAAACTTGACTTCCACAAGATGATGGGAATTCTGCCAAGAATCCGAATTGATACTCTTTGGTATCAATTTTCTCCTTTTGCCGCTTTAAGAAAAAATAATTTATAAAGGGAATTGTGTTAAGAAACACAGCTAAGAGCTCCCACACAGAGCTGCTGCCGTTCCAAATCCCCACAGAGAGAACACTCGTCTCACCTGGGGTTTTAAAGGTTTGGGCATCTGTGACCTTTCTCAGGGCATCAAGCTGGAGGACACAGAACAATGGCACTGCCTGTGTGGCTTTTCCAGCAGGTGGGTAGCTGGCATGTGTTTATTTCAACAGGCATGGGTCCTTGCTGTTGTGAAAGGCACCTGATGATATTTGCATTTGGTTTTAGAAAGTCTAATAATACGGCCAAAGGCTCCGTGTCCTTTGCACGTGCTGTTTCTCTGGAATGGGGAGCAGGTGCATTGGAGGGCAGGGCCCTGGCTGCAGAACTTGAGATGACCTTGGATTGAGTGGTCAAAGCCAGACATTCCATGGTGCAAATGGAGCCCATGGTGGCCGCTCTTTGTCCTAGGACCCATCTCTCAGCAACTCCAACCCTTGCTTCCTAATCTGTCAGTCATGAGGGCTGCAGACATCAGGGGCTCTCAACGGCGTGTGTGCAGTGCAGCACTGGGGGCTGCAGTCCATCTCACTTGCCAGCAAGGCAGCATGAAGCCTTCCTGAGGTGGATGGAGAGCCTGTGTGCCCAGGTGCAGGTGACACAACTGGCCAGATCACAAGGACATGGGCAGCAGCTGGCTCCATGCCAAGCCTCGAGTCCAGTCATTTCTTTTTGGAGTTCTTGACCTTCCCATTTGTATTCATTTCCTGTGGCTGCTGTAACAAGTCACCACAAACTTGGGGGCTTAAAACTACAGAAATGTATTCTCTAACAATTTTAGAGGCCAGAGTCTGCGATTTCACTGAGCTGAAGTCAAGGTGTCACAGGGCTGCGCACCTCCAGAGGCTCTAGGGGAGAGCCCTTCCTACCTCTTCAGCTTCCGGGGGCTCCTGCTGTTCCTTGGCTTGTGGCTGCATCACCCCCATCTCTGCCTCCATTGTTACTGTCTGGGTCCACTCTCCCCCGCCCCCTGGCAAAGAAAGAGATGATTGAGTTTAGGGTCCTCTCAGATAATCCAGGACCATCTCCCATCTCAAGATCCTCTTTTGCCATATAAAGTGAAGAGTTTCCGGCGATTAGGACGTGGATCTAACTGGGGCGGGGCGGGGCCTTTTTCAGCCCATCACGGATCTCTGCCCCATTTGGGAGGGGTTGTGGTCTCCAAGGTCAGCCCTGTGAGTGGGAGGCTGGGTCCTTCCCTGGGATGGAAGGGTCTTGCAGTATGAAAGGGAGTGCAGGGCTGTGAGGGACTAGAGGTTAGGGAGCAGTCAGCAGGGACCAAGGTCAAAATCAAGAAAGTATACTGTAGATCTGGTCAGCTGGTTGTGAAGGAGGAGGACGCAGAAAGGATTAAAAACAACCCAAAGTTAGCCAACTTCAGCAAGACCAGGACTGCCTGGAGTAATGACAACATGCGGACGGCAGCTCCGGCTATCAGCAGGAATGCCAGTCAGCTCCTGTGTCCCTCGATAAGGCATCTGCAAGATGCAGTCACCTGGCCTGGCCCTCAAGCTGCCAGGAGCCCCACAACAGCTTTTTGCAAAGGACTGATTGCTGATACTCCTATTTAAAATCCCTGAGGCTGGGACAGCTTCAAGTGTGTCAAAATCTAGGCCCCAACCACCAAGCAGTCCCATCAATGTATTCAAAGTAGGGGCCTCGACCACTTACTTCCTGGACACACACTTGCCAGACCTTTTGAAGGGCACATGGGGGCAAATCAGTGGGCAGCCACTAGTCCAGCTACTGGCAGGCACAGGGACCTTCCAGTTCTCAGCATGTGAGACACAGACCCCGTCTGTCAACACTCATGCCCACCTCTCCACCAAACGCTGCCCCTTCTGCTCTGGGGAGCTGCCGTCCCTCCCCAAACTGCCAGAAGAAAAGCCCCGACTGTGGCCCCACCTGCACCAAGTGCCGGGCTCTGTCACCACGTTGGTTACTCTGAGTCAGGCCCATGGGAGGCCAGCAACACAGCCCGGGAGGAGTCAGGGATTTAGGGCCCAGACCAGGCTCACCCACTGTTCCTTCAGCCACTTTGAACCTCAATATCTCCATCTATAAAATGGGGATAAAACCAACACTGCTTTCCTCTTAGGTTTGTCCTAAGGATCAACAGGTAGAACATTATTCCACAGAAGAATCATTTCATGTCTCCTTAAAAATTCATCTTATCCCTAAGAAGAAAACAACTAAAAAAAAAAAATCCGTAAGAGCAGTAACCCTCACAGTTGTGACATTTCCATCACCCCTTTGCCTTTCCCTCATGTACCTCTTTTCCATTTGTATCAGTCAGCTGTTGCTCTGTAACAAGCAATCTCAATATTCAATATGTACAGCAATATGCATTTTTTCCCCATGTGCCCAGGCCTGTAGCTTAGGTGGTAGGTCTCTGCTTCCTGGGCCTCCCTCTGGGGTCAGGCTAGAAGGACTGCAGCTACCCAGGGTATGCTCCTCTAACATGTTGGAAGATGGAAACTTCCAGAGGGGTGAACACAAATACATGACGCCTCCAGAGGCCTGGCTCAGAATCTGCACGTTGCCACTTCTGCCCACATTCTTTTTGTCTTAGCAAGTGACAGGGCCAAGCCCAACACCAATGGCGGGAAGTCAGAGGTACACTCCTGTGCCAGGCTCCATAATGGCATCCTTCAAAGTCATATCAGCAGGGAAACGGGTGCAGAGAGCAGACCACTCTCTGATTGTGGTGAGCTGTGTTTCTATGAGCCCTGAGAGTCTGCCACCCTATTTAGTTAACTAAGCCTGCTCCAGATACAGGAAGGGGAAACATGCATCACAAGGAAGTAATGAAGTTGGAGCCAGGTCCTGAGCTGTGATGTGGCTGAAATCAAAGGATAAAGAAAAAAATCCTCTTAAGCACCAAAGCCGAGAACAAAATGGCCTCAAGAGACACTTGCTCTATGCAAGCCGGTCGGGCTGCAAGGGCGACAGTGAGCGCCACAAGACCCAGTGAGCCCTCCCTAAAAGTAGGGGTGGGGGTGACTTGCACACCAACATGCTGCCTGGAAGAGAGGACATCCACAGAACAGACCCCGAGGGAAAAGGGAAGGGCATGGAGCGGCAGCTTCCAGCCTGTGCCGAGGCGCCCCCGCCCCTAGTGAGCTTGCAGCCACAGCAGGATGCCTTTTACTTGTGAGGAAAACAGTGATACTCAACGTCTTTGGACGCTTCACGGTTTTAACCTCATATCTTGCTACATTCCTTTCCATGATTTGATGTCTGCAAAGCTAGGATTCTGACAGTTACTGAAAAAGCAATTACTGTGTGAGTGAGTATCAATGTGGGACAGGCAACAGGGGTGGCAGTTTCCAATCTGATTCTAAGATTTAAGGAGAGCCCAAGAGGCACACATTCCATCTGTAAGTAATTACAGTTACCTAAAAACATAATGAAAAAAAATTTTAAGTTTATATATATTATTTTCCAAATATCTACTATAAATTGCTAGAACATAGTTAAATTGTTTGTTTGGACTTATCTATTTAATAAATGTAGCTGTTAGGTATTTCTTTTGGCCTAGGGGTCCCTTAAAATAATTACTAAACCTTACCTAGGGGTGCGCTGGGCCGAGGGTTGGGAAACCCTGACTTTAACATACACAGCAGTGTGCCCCTGCCACTAGGACCCTGCCTGCATCCAAATGCTTGGATACCTGAAACTCATTTGCATCCTGCTTCCCCTCAGCCCCAAATGCATCCTGAGTCTGCACTCCCCTCTGGTTCTACAGCCGCCACTCTTCCCCCGAACAAATGCAAAGCTGCCCATTGGTCTCCCTGCTCCCAGAAAACCGCGCCACAATCCAAGCCTCGGCCGGTGCCAGCACATCCTGTGAATGTGTGATCAGATTCTCCTGCTTAAAATCTGTCATTGGTTTCTCATTGTCCTCAAGAGAAAAGCTGGCGCCTATCAGGACCTGTGTGGTTCTAACTCAGAACCTCCGCTCTGCCCCTGAGTGGCCGCCTTGTTCTGTCCCAGTTTCAGCTCACCAACCCCTCTTCAGGGAGGTCGTCCTCTGCCCACCCAGTCCCTGCCACCAGCATGGTCCCAGTGTCATCTTTTCCATGACCCTTGTTTTCTTTGTTTTAGTGTCTGCTCTTACTTGCTTATACTCATTTAAGGCTGGCCTCTGGACTAGAACACCAGCTGCCCAGGAGTAGGGACCTCATCTATCTCATCCATCAAACTGCCCAGGCCTCAAAGCCTGGGAGGCAGAGGCTGAACGAGCAAGCGGGGCTCCGTGCTCACCTGCTCCTCATCTCCTGCCCCCAACCTCCCACGTGAGAGAACGTCCCTTCCTCATGAACATCCACAGAGAACCCAGCACGGCCTTCTGTCCTGAAGCACAGGAGACACTAAGGAGCATCCAGGTGGCCTCTGGGCACTCAGCTTGAGCTGACCAGAAGCTCCCAGGAGCCAGTGGCTATTGTGGCCCCTCAGACATGCCCCCCCTCCCTCCAGCCAGACTCCACCCAGACTCCATCTCTCCCCTCGGGAGGGGTGGTTGCTGCACCCACAGACAGAGCGCTTTAGAGGACAAAGAGGCTTCCACCCTTTACTGGAGATAAAGGGCCAATGTCTTTGCAACAACACTGCATTAACCCATGTCAGACAGCCTATGCAGGTCAGCAGTCATCTGTCCGCTCAGCCGCTGGCCTTGACCCATGATCCCACCACAGCTCACCATCCCTCATGAATTTATTTCTGTTCATTATAAGGAAACCATTAACCCAGGATGGAAAATTTCTCAGAACAACATGCCTATGAATTGCTACAATCCACAACCAGTTTCACAGTCACGCCCTTCACAGCCTGGGCCCTGCTCCCTCACCCCGTTGTGGAACAGGTGGCACTCGGTCTGGGAGCCTGAGAAGCAGTGTGCTTGCCCTTTGCAAATCACAGACAAGCCTCCCTTGGTTCCCCACCTGATTCCCTGCCCCTCAAAAGTGCACTTTTCTGCACTCTTCTTTCAGGAGAGAAGCCAATGAAAAGGGAATTGTTTAAAAAGACATTTTCAAGGAGTATGTTGGAGAGATTAGCATACCTTTAGCCTGGGCCCATGAGCACAAACAAGCTCACGTCCTGCTGACGGACCTGAGGCCCTTAAAGATTTCATTAGTCATAGAGCTCCACTGACTAGACTCCCCACGTTCTGATGATGTTTCCAACAAGGCTGCAATGGGGAGTGTCCCCCAAATTCCCAAGCACAAAGAGCCTTCTCAGCAGGCCTGCCCAAGACAAGCAAGGAGAAGGAAGCTCACAGGATAGAGTGAGCTGGTCCTGGTGGTGTTTGCAGAGGTACTTTCTATTGCTCTGTCTTCCAGCTCACTAATCCTCTCTTCTGCTGTCTCATCTACTGTAAAATCCACCTACTGAATTTTAAATTTCAGTTATTGTACTTTCCCTTTCAGAATTTTCATTTAATCTTTTATGAATTCTAATTCTCTATGAAACTCTTCATCTTACCTATTTTCTTTAATATGTTAATAACTTACTTTAAAGTCCATATCTGCTACTCCAGTATCTTAATCTCCTGTGGGTCTACCAACTTTTGCCCCCCGTCCTGTTTCTCAGTATGCCTAGTAATTTGATGGACCAGCAGAGGAATGGTACGATGTCTCCCTCCAGGGTGGGCAGCAGAGGGGCCAGGCCACCTCAGGCCAGCTGGGGACTCAGCTGACACTGAGCTCATTCTGCAGTCCTTGCAAAGCCCAATCACCTGGGGTCCCCAAAGGTCCCAGCCAAGAGTCTGGTATTTCTTAGGGCCATTCCTCCTTGGCAGGCTCTGAACTCTTCCCTAGCAGCAGGAAACTGCCAAAAACCCAGCTCTGCTTTTCAGCCACTTTCAGCTTCTCTGGTCTCCTTCCTTTCAAGGATCTCAGCCCTCCAGCCCCACTGCCTCAGGCCCATATCCCCAGCTCAGTCTCCCCAGCCCCACGAGATTACACGGACCTCCTCTGGCTTCTCTGCCTCTTAGCAGCCACCCCTGCCCAGCCCTAAGGGGAGAAGCCAATGTAGGAAGTAGGGCTCACCTCTTCAAGCTCCCCTCTGAGTCGTCGGTGCCAGGGCAGTGCTCTGGTCCTTCAAGCAGACGCTTTGTGAATTATGGCCAGTTCCTGAGTCTTCGGGAGGCATTGGTCTGCTGTGAGCTACTCCATGGCCAGAAGAAGCCTGTTTTCATTACTTGGAAAGAGTCACTGAAGTGAGGAGCTGGAAAGTTTGTAGGCTGATAACTAGGCAAGCTGGTCTAACTATCAGGCCACATGGACAACTCCGAGCTACAAATGTCCTGTGTAGAGGTACGCCAGCCAGTGAGACAGCATGCCTCTCTGCTCGACCAAGACTGTGGGACTCACGACCTCTGTATCCCGTCTGAAGCCTACGGTATTTGTCTTAAAAGAAGACAGCACAACACCAGGACACAGCAGTCCTGTATTCTATAAGCCTGTTCTACGCCTCCTCAGAGAACATGCACACATGTCCTTGGCTCAGGCTTCTTAACCTCGCTCCTGGAGGACTTTCAGCTCCAGGCCTGTTTCCTTTCTGGGGGCTATACCACCCTTGGCCAGAGAGATGATGCTGGTTTCTGACAAGAAATGTAAGTACCTGCCACAGGGCTTCTCTACAGACATTATAATTTCACACTGACAGTTTCAACATGTTTCCAAAGGGCCTCCCACCTCAGGGCCTTTGCACTGTTCCTCTACCTGAGTGCTCTGCCTCCAGATGGCTACACGGCTTGTCCCTCCCTTCACTTAAGCCTCTGCCCAGATGTCACCCTACCATAGCATCCTACTTAAGTAGCAGGTTTTCTTCCATGACTCTATCTCCTTTATCCTGATTTTCTTGCCACCATCACATCTAACACACGTTGTTATGGTCAACCTCATCCTACTGGGCTAAGTCGCACAAGAGCTGGGCGTATATAGCATCATGTAGACAAGGCTGGCCCCATAGCAGGTGCTCACCAAGTACTTGCTGAATGAAAAGATGAATGTCAGACAGGGGCCTTCTTGACAGAATGGCTTTAGATGTTCCAATCTCTTCGGCTGCTCTGGCTGTCCCCATCTAAGTGTGAGCATCTCACACAAGGGGAGCCTGACTAGGTCCTCTTGATGAATGAGTAAAGGAACAGGCTACTGACACTGGGCCAGGCTCCTCACTCAGTCTCCACATCACAAATCCTGGTGGAACAATCATGTAACCAAATGTGATAAGGGAACACCATCAAAGTTACAGCTCCTAACAGGAGGGGAGGAGAGGGAAGCTCCTCGTGGGGTAAGGGGGAATCAGAGCAGCACTCAGGTCAAGTACAGCCAGACAGCAGGGAGCTCAGAACAACCCCACCCTGTCATGGAAGTCCTGACTGTCAGACAGCAGGCCCCAGGTAGCTGCTGGTGTAGGCCTGTCTCCACGGAGAGGAGGGGCTGCTCCTGCCTGAGCCCAACAGGGTCCATGTGACGGTACAGCCCTATGACGTGGCGGCCACCAGCTCCACCACAGACCCTCAAACCTGAGTTCCAAGTGGGGTGTGTCTTTCCAACTCTGCCCACTCCCTCGTGGATGAGCAGCTAGGGAAGGCTGATGTCTTGTCTTCCCCACCTCCCCTGGTCACTGTGTCCACTAGACCCCAGCCTCTGCTCATCTTCCTTTCTCTGAGCATCTCTGGACCTCAGAGTATAGTATATTGAGCAATGGGGTCCCACTAGTGAGGAGGAAACCACAGTCCCCAAGTTACCCTGGGTGCTTCTCCCTGCCCCTCCACCATGAAAAGCCATGAGCTGTAATGTTCCTGTAACTCAGCTCCTCTTGAGGGTGGGGACACGTGCAATGCGGGCCTGTTGGGGCCCAGTCATGTGAGGAAAAAGGCTTCCACTGAGCCATCCTTCCCCAGTGCCTCAGCCTTCTCCCTACCCAGCCTCCAGGAGAGTCCCCTCACCAGGCCTGCTGCGAGTGAAGGATGCTGCGTTTGTCCTGCCCAGGCCCCCCATCCGCCACGAGGGCCTCGCAGAGGGCCTGCCCGTGCTGGGCCCTGACATGTGGGTAGACATGGGGTCCTGCCCCCATTCTCCACCCAAAGGGCCAGACACTGGCCCAGGGAACGAGCCTGAGGCATGGAGATTCCCAGGTGATGGAACAGAAGGTGCCCCCAGGAGAACAGAGAGGCAGCCACAGAGACCTCTGCCTCCTCAGGAATCGTAGGGTTCCAGGGTCTGGGGAGTGGCACTGGTTCTCCCCACTTCTACATTAGTTTAGAAAGCACGTCCACTCACCTTCTGAGGCTGCCTTTCCAGACGGCCTCCCCTGCGGCCTGCATACGCACACAGCTGCCCGTCAGGGGTCAATGCCCCTCCCCCAGCGCAGAGGTAAAGCAGGACGGCACTGGCTACGACAAGCCACCAGCTGTAGCCGTGGACAGGGGCTTCAGGCAGGAGCAGAGATGGCCTCAGGAGACCAGGAATGAGTCCAGCACAGCACCTTCCATCTGGTCCTCTGGCGAAGGCCAGAGTAGCTTGAGGTAGGTGGCCTTGTTGGTCTGGCTCCCCATCATCCAAAGACCGCTGAAGTCGTGGCGGGCAATAGAGGCAGCCTACGCAAATGCAGGGGGGACCGGCTCCTTCCCCCTCCTCTGAGCTCTATGAAGAGGTGCTGATCTTCGCAGGGGCCTCAGCTCACCAACGACACTGCGCAGGAAGCTGGTAAAATGCAAGCTTCTCAGGGGGCTGCCACCAGGCTGCCACCATGTCACTCTCTCACAGCCTGTGCGATCTTGCTGTTCCTATGCACACTGACTGGTTAATAAAAAGAAGAAAAAACCGAGTGTTAATGTCAGTCATCTTAGCTCGAGGGTACCACTTGTTCTGAAACTTCATCAAGCTCCTGACAGGCTGTTTCATTTGTTTGTATGTTTATTCATTCACTCAAGATGGAGTAACAGGGGCCCCCAAACAATGAGAAAACTGGGTAAGAGATGATGTGATGGTTTTCCGTCACTGGATAACAGTGCATGACAGTGATCCCAGAGATAAGGGCAACCAAGACACTGGGCCCTGTGACTGACCCGCCACAGCTGAGGTGGCTTCCAGGCTACAGTGTAGGGAAGGGAAACTGAGACCCAACTGTCCCCTGAGTATAGGTCAGGGAGGCCCAGGTGGCTACAATGTGTGGCGAAGAATGTTGGGAGGGAGTGGGTCACAAAGAAAGCAGAGCTCCAGGATCCGCAGAGGATCCCCTCAAGTCTTCAGCTGAGGACAAAACTGTATCTGTGTAAGAAAAGCTATGTGAGAGGCTGGGGCAAGAATCCCTTGCAGATAGAACTATCCCCGGAGCTCACACAGGAATGGGAATATTCTGTGTTCCCACAAACCACCATGGAAAGACCTCCTCATTCACAGGATATTGGGTAGAATCCTCAGATAGGCATTACCCTTGGCAATGGGGCTAAATTAGCAGTAGACCAAAGGCAACTCTGGACCACCCTGATGAAGCAATTCTCTAAAGATCAACTGATGCCAAGGAACTTAACTGTGTGCCAGACCAAGATTAACACTGTTTGAAGGAATAGAACAAAACCCAGCAACCAACAACATAAATTCACAATGGCCAGTATCTAATAAGGAAACAGCCAGGTCTATCAGTCAGGGTCCAGCCAGGGACAGAAAACACATCGTACTTTAAACAAGGAAAGTTTAGTATAAAGAATTATTAACTATTTATAGGGGATTAACTAAAAGGAACCAATAGAGAACTTTATAGAATACCCTAGGGTGAAGGGAGGTACCCAAGGGAAGGACTCAGACCTGGGAGATCATAGCTCCCTGGATGGTGAAGTTCCCTGGGCTGTTCCAGGCGAAGGCTTGAGGGCTGAGAGCCACCTGAGAGGATGCCAGCAACATTAGATGGGAAGCTGTCTGCAGAGAGTGCTGGGAAGCCAACAGTGGGGAGATGCTGATGAGCTCACTAGAAAGCTGCCAGGAGGCCAGCCTCGGTACCCATGGAACTTAAGTGACAGCCTGTCCCCTCCCAAATACATAAGTACTGTTGGCATCCATGTACTGCTGCATTTTTCAGTAGGAAGCTGCCTGAGGTAGTGCCACAGAAAATCACGAGGGGGTGTGGGGGTGAGCCCATGTCACAGAACAGGAATAAGCAAAGCACAAAAAACCAGGAAGAGAGGCCCTTTCTCCTCCAGTGCCCTCCACTGACAAAGGTTAGGTCAGGAGAGCTGGCTAGGGAGAAATGTCCAGTATCGCAAGCAGGCAGTCCACCACAAGGGAAACTGACCTAGAAATGACAGAGATAAAGGAACTAGCAGACAAGGACAAAAAAACCAGATATTATAAACATGCTTCATATATCAGGGAAGTAGAAACATGAGCACGAAGTAAGAAATGGAAGATATAAAAAGACCCAAATGGAACTTCTAGAGATGGCAAAAATATCTGAAATGCAAAAACTCACAGTATGGGATTAACATTAGATCAACACTGAAAAAGAAAAGATCAGACAACTGAAAGACATGGCAATTGAAACTATTCAAATAAAGCACAGAAAGGAAATAAAAAGCATCAGACTCTGCCAAGCAGTCCAATGTGCATGAACCAAAATCCCAGAAAAAGAAGGGCAAGAAGGGGACAGAAACAATATTTGAAGAAACAGTGAGCAAAACTTCCCAAATATGATGAAAACTGCAAATTCACAGATCCAAGTTTGATAAAACTCAAAAAACCACCAAGGCACACCATAATCAAGTTGTTGAAAACCAGTGTTGATAAACATCTTTAAAAAAAAAATCTTAAAAGCAGCCAGGCTCAAAAAAAACACATTATGTACAGATTTTTTAAAAATATGAGACTTCTGCTGTAAGCCAGAGGACAATGGAATGACACCATTAAAATACTAAAAGAAAAAAAAGTGTCAACTGGAAATCTTTAAATGTACCCAAAATTTGGGACTTCCATTTTCTAGGCTGTCGTGGAAGAAGCTTAGAATCTGTCACTAATATACTTACAATTAGACAAAAACTGAATAGACTGAAAAACAACAACTCTTTTTTAGATCCAACAGGGAACTGAGGTCACAGGATAAAACACTGATCAAACAATTAGAGAAACGGATAGACACACTCAGAGAATCACAATTTACTGCAGCAGACACCTGAGGCAGAGACCAGGGCAGGAAAAATCAAAGTGTAACTGATGAATTGCCAGAGGTTCAATGTAGACAAATTTGAGAGTTAATAAAACTTCAAGAGGGCCCATTCTTAGGGAGACATGGATATTTTTGTGTTTTATCTCCAGGAATCCTACCAGGTTCTCACAGTGAAGGTCAGAAAAAGGACCCCTTATGCTCACTTACAGCAGGGGACAGCAGCCATTTTGAGTATTCTGTTCTTAACAAGGCCTGTCCTCAAGGGAAACTGTTTTACCAGGGCCTAACTTAACTGAGGTTTTAGCAGAACCTAACTGACCTGAGGGAAAGGAAACACCCAACTCCAGCACCCTCTGCCTTTCTGTTTCACCCAAGGTGGGGAAACCCAAAACTGAAAAGTACTCGTGAAGGTCACAGGCCAAGGGCACAGGTTCACTCAAAGACTCTAATCATAGAACTATACTTCTCCTTAAAGCAACTGTGATTAATATGCTAAGGGCTCTAATGGAAAAAGTGGACAACTTGCAAGATCAAGTGGGCAACATAAGCAGAGATGGAAACTTTAAGGAAGAATCAAAGGAGATGCCAACAACCTCCAAAAATTGTAACAGACATGAAGGACACTTTTGATGGGTTCATGAATAGACTACACACAGCTGAAAAAAAAAAAAGACTACACACAGCTGAGGAAAGAATCAATGAGCTTGAAGAAATATCAACAGCAACTTCTAAACCTGAAATACAAAAAGAAAAGGGAATGAAAAAGATGGAACAGAGTATCTAAGAACTGTGGGACAACTACAAAAGGTGTAATATATGCATGATGAGGGAAAAGAAAGGAAGGAACAGAAGAAGTATTTGAAGAAATTTTGACCAAGACTTTTCCAAAACTAATGGCAGACACCAAACAAGGAAGCTCACAAAACACCAAGCATGATAAATATTTTTAAAAATCTACACCTAGGCATATCAAATTCAAAATTTAGAAAATCAAAGACTGAGAAAATCATGAAAAGAAGCCGGCAAGGGGTGTATGTTGGGGAATCTTACCTATAGAAGAGCAAGAATGAGAATTACATTAGACCTCTCATCAGAAACCACTCAAGCAAGAAGCAAATGGGTCAAACATTTATAGTGTGGAAAGGAAAAAAGTACTAACCTAGAGTTCTAAAGAGAAATAAAGACTTTATCAGATAAACAAAAATTAAGGGAATTTGTCACTGGTAGACTTGTTTTGCAAAGAATATTAAAAGAAGTTCTTCAGAAAGAAGGAACATGATATAGGTCAGAAACATAGATCTACACAAATAAGAGTGTTAGAGAAGGAATTAAATGAAGATAAAATATTTTATTTTTCTTATTATTTTTGTAGGGGGGGAGTTAATTAGATTTGTTTGTTTATTTATTTAATGGAGGCACTGGGGATTGAATCCAGGACCTTGTGCATGCTAAGCACGTGCTCTGCCACTGAGCTATATCCTCCCCCTATTCTTAATTGATGTAATAGATAATAGTTTGTTCAAAGTAATAATAGCAATAATGCATGTGGTGATTGCAGCTTCTGTATATGTAAAATGAATGACAGCAATGTCATAGGGACAGGAAGAAGGAGTTGGGAATACTCTGTTATAAGGTACTTGCACTACCATAAAGTGGTATAATGTTATATGAAAGTGGCCTTGGAAGTTGACTTGGAAGGCAAACTTAAAAAAAATTTTTAAAAATAAAGTTAACACACCAAGAGACTAGGAAAATGTAATCATATCAAATGTTCAACCGAAGCCAGAGAAAGCAGAAAAAGAGTGGAAGATAAAAACAAAAACAAAGAAAAAGACAATGGATAGAAAACAGTAGCAAAAATGGTAGCTATTAATCCAACTTATCAATAATCACTTTAAATGTCAATGGTCTAAATACGTCATTTAAAAAGACATATTGTAGAGCAGATCAAAAACAAGATCCAACTACATGGTATCTTCAAGATACTCACTTTAAATATAGGGGTACTGACAGATTAAAAAGTAAAAGGATGGATAAATATATGTAATTTTAACACTAATCAAAAGAAATATGGAGTAGCTTATTGATTTCTGACAGACTTCAGAGCAATGAAAACTATCAGAGATGAAGAGAGGCATTACAGAATAATAAAGAGGTCAAGTCTTCAAGAAGACATAATAAACCTTAATGTGTATGTACCTAACAGTAGAGCTTCAAAATACATGAGGCAAAAACTCATAGAACTGCAAAAAAAGATAGATAAATCCACTATTATAGCTGTAGACTTCAATACCCCTGTAACAGAAATGGGCAGATCCAAAAGGCAGAAAATCAGCAAGAACATTGCTGAACTCAAAAAACCATCAATCAACTGGATATACTAGACATCTATAGACTGCTTCATCCAACACAGCAGAATATGCATTCTTCTCAAGCTCACATGGGACATTCACCAAGACAGACCACATTCTGGGCTGCTAAAAACACATGTTAACACATTTAAAAGAACATACATCATATGATATATGCTCTCAATCCACAAAAGAATTAAACCAGAAATCAGTAACAAAAAAGTAGCTAGAAAATCCCCAAATACTTGGAGATTAAATGATACATTTCTAAATAACACAGAGATCGAAGA